GCGTTTTTAGCATAAACTAGTGGCATGATTGAATTCCTGAGGAAATTCTGGTCAACTTTCATCAAGAAATCGTGGCCAATGGTTGATTATAGAGAGAGTTAGGGTTGGATGAGGTCGGCCGGAAAAGCCACCGGCGGTGACCTTCGCGCGCGCAGGTGGAGAAAGTTTCAGAAATTTGAAATGGAGAAGACATAATCTCCATCGTCCATGCTTGATGAGAACTTGACTTAGTCAGTAGATCCAACGTGCACTGAGCGAGCCACGTACCCTCCCCCCTGAACGCAGCGTTTCATTTAGTGGGAGATCCAGCACGCTGTGAGCACCAAAGGGACGTGGGTTCAAGTCCTCGCGTGTGCTTGTTTTATTCATTTTTGAGCTGAATAATTGAGGACTCAGGCGTGTGGGCTTGGGTTGCATTTGATATCTGGCGCTACTCGAAAAAATGCATCGCGCAACGACGGGGAGGCGAAGAAGAAAGGACAGAAGAGTCGCCACCGAATTTTATTTATCCCATGAGGGGAAAGGAAAATATCGAGAAAACCTTAAGAAAGAAATGGATAAGATGGTCTCGCAACCAAGAACGGGTTCGGAAGCCGGTTATGCGAGGGGAAGGTATTAGCACCCCTCGCATCCATCGTACTCGATGGGAACCTTTTGTTTGTCGAGGTGTGAATTTATTTGCTTAAACATTATGCTATAAGAAGTGTGTTTCAAAAGGGTTAAGGGAAAGGCTTAGAAACGGGAAACAAGGGGTGACGAGGGAAAGAAAGGACTCGATAGGACTTCGCGGTCCTAGGCCTACGTATTCTCAACAGATATGAGAAAGTCAGAGTCGACGTAGTTCGGGAAACTACAGATATAGGGGGGATTGTGCTCGACAAGGATTGTGGCCCTTGTGCCTACGTATCTTTACTTGAACGAAGTAAAGAATCAGAGCAGCCGTAGTTCGGCCTACGGGTGAAAGGTGAAAAAGGGAGCTCGCCAAGACATCGCCGTCTTGTGCCTACGTATTCTCATCTGGTATGAGAAATCAGAGCGAACGTAGTTCATGATAACAGTGTGTTGATGTTTTTTATGGATGATGTTATCGTGCGCATTCTAGCAGTTAGGTGTTTTGCTGCTCGCTCGTTGGAGACTTAGGCATTACCTGTTTGCGGTAGAATGGATGTAACATATCCTGTTTGAAAGGTTGGTTTTTTGCCATACGAGGCAAGGTGTCATGTTTGATTGGTGAGATTGATTTTTGGGGCGAGATAGGTCCTCGGATAGTAACCCCTACAGGTAGTACCCGATTCTTTATCTCAAAGTTTTTGTTGTAAAAATGATGTGTGGCGAACGTAGTGTCTTCGTATTGGAAGACGAGTATCAAGACCACACACACTATAGTGAGTATCTTGACACTCGGAGAGGAAGAAGACTACACTTAATCCTCTCTCTTTAGTTCAACACAAAGAGAACTTCATTCTCTTATTAAAGTGTTTTTGGTTTTGAATGGTAAGTGCTTTTTGCGACAAAGAACCCTACGGTAAACGTCAGCACTCGGGATAGGAGAAGGCCTACGCCTAACCACTCCACGACCCTTCAAGTTTTTGTATGAAAAAGAATTTGAAAATGCACTCGGTACGGGACCAAGGTTTTAGGTGACGGAAAGAAGTTGTGACAGGAGGGGTGGTGGAAGAAGTCGCGTCTTCGTATTGAAAGACGAATATCGAAACCACCCTCACTACAGTGGGCATCCCAACATTCGGGGAGGAAGAGGTCTACACCCAATCCTCTCTTTTTAATTCAATACAAAGAGAAAATAATTTATTATTGAAAGTATACTCAGTACGAGACCGAGGTTTTATGAGGAAATGTTGGAAGCGTCTTTGTATTGACAGACGAGCATCGAGACCACCCTCACTACAGTGGGCATCCTTACGCTCGAAGAAGAAGAGGTCTACACCCAATCCTCTTTTTAGCTCAACACAAAGAAATGATTTTAAGGAGATGAGATTTGAAAATGGACGGGAAGCGTCTTCGTATTGAAAGACAAGTGTCGGAACCACCCTCACTACAGTGGGCATCCCAACACTCGGAGAGGAAGAAAGTCTACACTTAATCCCCTCTTTTTAATTCAATACAAAGATAATTTGATTTTGAAAATTGTTTGACAAAATTTTGAATCGAGTCGGGACAAGTAATGAAGAGAGAAAAAAGGTGGTCTCAGATCCAACATTACTTATCAATAATTTGACTGGTAATGAATTACGGAGGTCTCGTCATCGACCCAAACAAATGAAAATGAGACAAAAAGTCCTATGACAAATGAGAAGATCAAATCCAACTTCTAAGAGAGAAAATGAATCAAAATTCTAAAAGAAATTGAAATAAAACCCGAATAGAGAATAATATAAACTTCTATATAAAACATTATAAAAACAATATACTTGTAGAATTCAAAAGAAATGAATACAATATAATAAATATTAACAAATCTGTTTTGAAAAAATAATATATAAATTAAAACTAACCAAAAGTATAAAAAGAATAAATTAAGTTTACAAATTAATATTTACAAAAACCATTAAACGAAATAGAGGGGGTACAACTTGGAGTGTGGAAGAAAACCAACCTCTGTAAAAACGCAGGCAAAGAGCATTACGAAGCAAATCAAAGTGAATCGCACCACATCTTCACTAAGAAGAATATTTCATCTCCAGACGCCTCCGTTCGTTCCAGGCCTAGGATTAAATGTTTCCTCCTTCTCTTTCTCGATCTCGGTTTCGAATTCTCCCTCCATTCTATTGGTTTGCTTTGTTCATGGTTTTAGCGATGGGGGGTTCTGATGAGTGGGTCTCGCGATGGTGTTGAAATCGGAGGGTTTGAAGCTGAGTTGAGTGGTTGAAGCTTGAAGGAGGCGGACGGATTGAGGAGAAGGTAACCGCTTTGGTTTGGAATAATAGGTTTGAAGAAAATAAGAATCAACAGTGGAGATTAATGGAAGAAGGTACTGAACAGAGACGCAAAAAGTCGCCCACCATATGTTCGATGAAAGTTCTATTATGGCTTTGAGGGTTTAATGGAGATTTCTGGGTGATTTATTTAGCTGAGGTGTTAAGAGGATGATGATGATGTCGGTAAGGATTTCGAAGAGGGTGGAAATGGCTTCGCCGGTGAGCTTCCGTTTGTGTCTGATGATGATGGAAGGAAGGTGAGGTGAGTGGATTTGCAGAGTGGGTTCGAAGGTGATTCGAAGAAAAACGGTGGAGGAAGTTTCTGGGCAGAGTGTTTGAAGATTTGAAATTGATAGTCTGGGATTGTGGTTTTTGTGTTGATTTTCAGAACTTGGTAACTGGGTTTTTTGTGTTTTGAGTTTTTGAGAGTTAGAGATGGAGAGATTCAACAGTTGATGGTTTTGTTCTGGGCTTTGTGTTATTGGTTGAATCGTTGTGGGGAAAAAATTGGTAGCAGGTTTTGATCCAGAGGAGGAATGGAAGTGTGGTTCTTCATGTTTTTTTCTTTTACCAATGAAGATTAAGTTCTGTTATATTGCTGGTTGGTTTGGTTTTCACTACAGGTTGCAGGTTTGTACAACCTAGTGTAGCAGGGGGCAGGCTGTATTGTCGCAGAGTTGTCTGGTGTGGGAGGAGTTAAAGCAGGGATAGCAGAATGGTTGGTCTGGTGTGAGTTTGTAGCAGGGTAGTGGTTGTAGCTGGCATTGTCTGTTGGTAGCAGAATGGCGCAGGATTTTCACTTCTTCAATTTGTGTCACTGTGCACTCTTTCCATGGTTGTGGTTTCATGTTTTCTTGCAGAATTGCTGCTTTATCTAGAGACCTTATTTGGCTTGTGTGAAGAATTCTCTCCACTGTTGCATCTTTGTCACTTATCTCATATAGTTCTTCGTGTGACTCTGGCAGTGACAGCTTTCGGTTTTTAAACGCCACAACAATAACCTGAGCAATTCTGATGGTGGGGCTATCTCCAGGAACTTTGATTCTATAGAAAGGCTTACCAAGAGCAAATGTGACAAAACCAATAGAAGAAGCTATGGTTATTATGAAAAACCCCCAATGCCAAAGCTTTTTGTGTACTAACCCAAACAACACCAGTAACACCAGAAATTGCTCCAACAGTTGAACTAAGCAAAAGCCAATTGAAGTAACTCGCAAGTGCTTTTGCTTCATTAGGATCCTTTTCTTCAAACTGGTCAGCACCAAAAGCAGTCATAGACCCTCTCACTCCACCAATACCCAGTGCATACAAACTCAACGACGCATAAAACATAACCCCAATCCCACCTTTCACACAGCTCGATTTCCCACATGCATTTGGATGTAAATGACCTGAAGCAGCTTGAAAAGTAACCATTGCCAAAGCCAGAACTTCTAAGGAGCCAAATATCAAACAGGTGGTGAACCTATTCAAATAAGTATCTGATATGAATCCACCAACAAGAGAAAGCAAGAAAGTTGAACCCATGAAGTTTGTAAGAGTATTTGCAGAACTTGATAGATCAAAATGCATCACTCCATAGAAATACAGAACCAAACTAACCATGTTTGCAACAAAACCCATATTATCCAATGCTGACAAAACAAAAATAAACATGGTAGCTCTGAATCCACCTTTCTTTCTCTTCCATTCAGCAAGAAGCTTGAGTTCTTCAGTTTCCTCTTGATCTACCATTGTTGTAGAATGAAGTTCTAGACAAAAATAGTAAGTGGTGTTTGTGAAATGTTTGCTTCACTGGCAGATCAACATCCAAGGTAACAACCTTGCCTGACTCAGGAAGTAATTCATAAGCTGTTTGCATTGACAAGTATGCAGCAATACGTTGGCGTGAGGTCTGTATATCAACCGCTGATACTCTCGGCATCAATTCACTCAATGTACCATCTGTCAATCGGACCACACGCCGAAAGGTCTCACTATCCACATCCATGTTAGACCCAGAAACTATGTCGGGAGGTAAAACAGGTATAAAATTAGGATCAGTAGGCAATAATACAGTGTTGACTATCCCATATTCTCCAGATATATAAGGTTGGTGTTCATCATGCCGCCATTCTCCATCAACAAAAAAAAAAACTTGTACTGATGATAACCAAGGGCCAAGCTATGGATTACTTGAAACACAGTTGGACAACCTTCAACTGGTGACATTTGCAGAAGCTCAGACCACCGTGTGAAGGAACCACTGAGATACACGCTCCTGCCCCCATACGGCCACACGAAACACATGGGAAATAGCACCGTCCCTGCTACAACAACACCCACACCCCTTCCAGAATCCATACTCGTACTGAACATTCTATTCCAAAATTCAAATAGCTACACAAAATTCTTTCTTCCAAGAACTAAACTTTACAGCATCCTCTCATCCAAGTTCAATTCACAGAAAACAAATTCAACCAAATGCAGCACCAATTCAATGCCCAAATCGAGGGTTGTACGTCGAGGAATTTAAGAAATTCTGGTGAAAAAGTAGAAACCCTTGTAAAATTATGTGAGGTCCGATCCCTTTTGCTGCTGTGAAGCTTGTTTCTCATTTAATTCATTCTTCACAGGACGCAAATCGTCAATCCCGTTGCTGCCATTTTCAGGTGTGGTGTAGCCATTATTGAATATGATGCCTGTGATGGTTTCAGCAAGAGTATGATTTCCACAAGTTTTTTAGAATGAATCCTTGATCTCATTTATTTCATACAACTTGTCTCTCTCTGTGTTTGTATTCATCCCTACGTAACGACTTCTTTGCATAATGTTGTGTTGCAGGTTTTTTCGTGTGGCCTTTTTTCTCTTGATTTGCAAGTGGGCGTATGGAGATGGTATGAACAGAGAAGAGGTTTTCAAAGTGGAAGAAGAGTAAGGAATCTGTTTTCTTTTTGGGAGCAGGTTTCACGGGATGCCGGCTTTGTCGTAACTTGTATACGAATTGCAGCTGGGGTATTAATAATGATAATGATGAGCTGCAGAACATATGCTTCTTTGGGGGAAAAGAAGGAGAAGATGGATTCACATAAAGGAAAAAGTGGGAATTCAAAGGGAGAAATGGAAGGATTCGTACGGGCATCACGGTGGAAGCCTTTTTTTGCGCAAACATTGTAAACGAAACCAGTGTTTTCCTTATGCTTTTGGCATGCTGTTTATTTTATTAATCCAGGATAACTTGATTGAAATTTAAAGAAAACATCTTGAATTGGAGCATGACTCATTAAGCATCAAAATGATTCCAATGTCATGACCACGTCTTTAATCTTTGTACACCTCCTTGTAAAATAAAGCATGAACCTCTATGAATCCTTTGAAAATTGTAAAAATGATTTTGTACCAATTCATGAGCTTCAACGTGATCACCTTCTTTCTTCACATTGTATTGTCTTGAAATAATTGAAAATTGCTAAGAAAGTGCTTATTTTCTTGGGGATACCTTGAAGTTTCTTCAAATTAAATAACTTGGAAAAATATGCCTTGACCAACAAATACAATTTAATAATTGATATGGCCTAAGAAACAATGACTTGGAGAAAAACAAACTCGACTCATAACTCATTAAATCTCAATATGCCTTGAGAAAAACTTACAGTCGTAAATTGCCCACCGGAAATTACTAACTGTTATTTTCCATCATGCTTAGTGTTTTGGATCTTGCGCTTTAGTTTAATCCTCATGACTCGAGCATAAATGAGCATTGTCAGTATTTCCATCATCAAACTATGTCTTGAAGGCAGACCATGTCTCCACATAAATTGTTTATACATTAAAACACATGATCATATAACTCTTCCTTAATCCAACTTCTTGAATAAATCCCTGAAATATAACTGAAGGCGTACCCAACTCAAATATCATCTTGAACCTCGATGAGTCCAAATATTCACTATGCACCAAGTGAATAGGACGCATGCCTCCTATCTGAAACTTGACTCCACCTGGCAACTTTTGAATTTTCTGACTATGAGGAATGGAAGGATGTATAAATGAGAAATATATACAAGTAGGACAAATTTGGGGTATGCTTATGCAATGTGATATGCTAATGCAATGAAATGAAACATAAACCAAATGGAGAAAAGGTAGGGCAAATTTTGGGATACAACAGCTGCCCCTATTCAAGCGACTTAGACCTGAATGGATGAAAAGCGAACAGCTTTCAGACGATCATGGTAAAAGGCGGTTGAATACCAAAGAGACCTGAAATTTGCCAACCGTAAAAGGAAATTCTGACATCGCCGTCAGGTACCCATATTAAGTGGAACATCTGACCTCGCCGTCAGCTCCTTTAATAGCATCTAACCTCGCCGTCAGATCTCAGCGTCAAAATTATAAATCAACTGACTTCGTCGTCATTTTTTCACACAGAATTCTGAAGAAAAAAAAAACCCTGACTTCGCCTGTCAGCTCTTCAAAATAATCTTCTGACCTCGCCGTCAAATTTACAATATTTTCTGACTTCGCCGTCAAAATTTTTTTCAAAATCGTCTTCTGACTTCGCCGTCAATCCTCAAAATAATCTGACCTCGCCGTCAATTTTTCCGTTAAATATGAACAGCCATTAAATTCAAAGATATAATTACTTTTGACATTGCCGTCAACACAAACATTCAACATCGCCGTTGAAGAACTAACTTATCTGACATCGCCGTCAGAACAAACTGTCAACATCGCCGCTGAAGGATACAATCACTTTTGACATCGCCGTCAAAACAAAATTTCAATGTCGCCGCTGAAAAACTAAATCATCTGACATCGCCGTCAAAACAAACTTTCAATATCGACGCTAAAAAACTAAATCATCTGACATCGCCGTCAGAACAAACTTTCAACATCGCCGTTGAAGAATCAAATCACTTGACATCGCCGTCAAAACAAACTTCTCAACATCGCCGTTGAAGGATCAAATCACTTGACATCGCCGTCAAAACAAACTTATCAACATCGCCGTTGAAGAATCAAATCACTTGACATCACCGTCAAAACAAATATTCAGCATCGCCGCTGAAGGACAACCTCTTGACATCGCCGTCAAAACAAATATTCAGCATCACCGCTGAAAAAATCAAATTATCTGACATCGCCGTCAAAACAAACTTCCCAACATCGCCGTTGGAGGACTAAAACATCTGACATCGCGGTCAGAAACAAACTTCTCAACATCGCCGTTGAAGAATCAAATCACTTGACATCGCCGTCAAAACAAACTTCTCAACATCGCCGTTGAAACACTACATCATCTAACATCGCCGTCAGAACAAATATTCAGCATCGCCGCTGAAGGACAACCTCTTGACATCGCCGTCAAAACAAATATTCAGCATCACCGCTGAAAAAATCAAATTATCTGACATCGCCGTCAAAACAAACTTCCCAACATCGCCGTTGGAGGACTAAAACATCTGACATCGCGGTCAGAAACAAACTTCTCAACATCGCCGTTGAAGAATCAAATCACTTGACATCGCCGTCAAAAAAAACTTCTCAACATCGCCGTTGAAACACTACATCATCTAACATCGCCGTCAGAACAAATATTCAGCATCGCCGCTGAAGGACAACCTCTTGACATCGCCGTCAAAACAAATATTCAGCATCACCGCTGAAAAAATCAAATTATCTGACATCGCCGTCAAAACAAACTTCCCAACATCGCCGTTGAAGAATATAAATACTTGACATCGCCGCCAAAACAGACTTTTCAACATCGCCGTTGAAACACTAAATCACTTTGACATCGCCGCCAAGAACAGACGTCCAACATCGTCGCTGAAACTTAAATCATCTGACATCGCCGTCAGAAACACTCATTCAACATCGCCGTTGAAGAATCAGATTACTTGACATCGCCGTCAGAAACAAACACTCAACATCGCCGTTGAAAAGCTAAATCATCTTGACATCGCCGCCAAGAACAGACGTCCAACATCGCCGCTGAAACTTAAATCATCTGACATCGCTGTCAGAAACACTCATTCAACATCGTCGTTGAAGAATCAGATTACTTGACATCGCCGTCAGAAACAAACACTCAACATCGCCGTTGAAAAGCTAAATCATCTTGACATCGCCGCCAAGAACAGACGTCCAACATCGCCGCTGAAACTTAAATCATCTGACATCGCCGTCAGAAACACTCATTCAACATCGCCGTTGAAGAATCAGATTACTTGACATCGCCGCCAAAACAGACTTCTCAACATCGCCGTTGAAGAATATAAATACTTGACATCGCCGCCAAAACAGACTTCTCAACATCGCCGTTGAAGAATATAAATACTTGACATCGCCGCCAAAACAGACTTTTCAACATCGCCGTTGAAACACTAAATCACTTGACATCGCCGCCAAGCCTTCGCTAAATATAAGCGAGCAACAAGATTCAAACGAAATTAAGACCATCCATTGGTAATAGTCGCAAAATAACTCCGTTGGGGAAACACCATGAGCTGGGGTCTAGCCAACACACGGGCAAAGATACTAATCATCTGCGAGATTCATTTGAAACAAAAGGGTAACGACCTGGCTTATGTTTCGCATGCATATGTTTGGATATGACGAAATGCTCCATACGAAATGGAAATGCTTCGCATTTGGGTAGATGTTATGCATGTATGTAGATGCAAATGAACCACTTTAGCAAGATAAATGTTGTAGTACCCCAAATTTTACCCTTACATTTAGTCAGTTCATTTCACATAGCATTTCATTTTGCATCCATTAATCACTAACCAATCATATGAGTGCGTTTTATTTCAGGAATTACCACAGGGGCATTTTGGTCATTTCACGTGGAGTCTGTAATTTTGAGACAAGTGGGACAGTATTCCTGAGAGGAAGCAGATACTGCTAAGGTTATTTGGAAAGCAGGAACTCAGTTTGAGTTTTGGTCAGATTTAATCCGGTTACGGTAAGCAGTCAATTAATATAAAGAGAGTGGATCTCATTCATAATATTGTCCAATACAAAAAGGGAAATGAGTTTAGATATTTGTGAATATTATTCGTGAATATTTATAATTTACAACTAAGAGGTGAGTTTAAATATTTTTGAAGCTTTATTCATAAGTATTTGCAATTTACATCTAAGGAGTGAATTTAAATAATTTTCGAATTATTATTTACAAATAAGAAGTGAATAAATATTTTTGAACTTTATTTCATAAATATTTAGTTTACAATGGAAATGGATAAATAATTTTGAACTTTATACCCACTGGTTTACAAAAAGGTTCATTACATTGGCTATCTATTCTAAAAAGTTCTAAGTCCTAAGCTTCTAAGTGTTCTTCATAATCTTCCTCCCTTGAGTTCTTC